GATTAGTGTCGGCTGGGGAATGTCTCGGTCAGATTAGTGTCGGCTGGGGAATGTCTCGATCAGATTAGTGTCGGCTGGGGAATGTCTCGGTCAGATTAGTGTCGGCTGGAGAATGTCTCGGTCAGATTAGTGACGGCTTGGAAATGTCTCGGTCAGATTAGTGACGGCTTGGGAATGTCTCGGTCAGATTAGTGACGGCTGGAAAATGTCTCGGTCAGATTATTGACGGCTGGAGAATGTTTCGGTCAGATTAGTGACGACTGGAGAATGTCTCGGTCAGATTAGTTATGGCTGGAGAATGTCTCGGTCAGATTAGTGTCGGCTGGGGAATGTCTCGGTCAAATTAGTGTTGACTGTGGAATGTCTCGGTCAGATTAGTGTCGGCTGGGAAATGTCTCGGTCAGATTAGTGTCGGCTGGGGAATGTCTCGGTCAAATTAGTGTCGGCTGGGGAATGTCTCGGTCAGATTAGTGACGGCTGGAAAATGTCTCGGTCAGATTATTGACGGCTGGAGAATGTTTCGGTCAGATTAGTGACGACTGGAGAATGTCTCGGTCAGATTAGTTATGGCTGGAGAATGTCTCGGTCAGATTAGTGTCGGCTGGGGAATGTCTCGGTTAGATTAGTGTTGACTGTGGAATGTCTCGGTCAGATTAGTGTCGGCTGGGGAATGTCTCGGTCAGATTAGTGTCGGCTGGGGAATGTCTCGGTCAGATTAGTGTTGGCTGGGGAATGTCTCGGTCAAATTAGTGTCGGCTGGGGAATGTCTCGGTCAGATTACTGATGACTGGAGAATGTCTCGGTCAGATTAGTTATGGCTGGAGAATGTCTCGGTCAGATTAGTGTCGGCTGGGGAATGTCTCGGTCAGATTAGTGTCGGCTGGGGAATGTCTCGGCCAGATTAGTGTTGACTGTGGAATGTCTCGGCCAGATTAGTGTCGGCTGGGGAATGTCTCGGTCAGATTAGTGTCGGCTGGGGAATGTCTCGGTCAAATTAGTGTCGGCTGGGGAATGTCTCAGTCAGATTAGGGATGGCTGGGGAATGTCTCGGTCAGATTAGTGTCGGCTGGGGAATGTCTCTGTCAGATTAGTGTCGGCTGGGGAATGTCTCGGTCAGATTAGTGTCGGCTGGGGAATGTCTCGGTCAGATTAGTGTCGGCTGGGGAATGTCTCGGTCAGATTAGTGTCGGCTGGGGAGTGTCTCGGCCAGATTAGTGTTGACTGTGGAATGTCTCGGCCAGATTAGTGTTGACTGTGGAATGTCTTGGCCAGATTAGTGTTGACTGTGGAATGTCTCGGCCAGATTAGTGTTGACTGTGGAATGTCTCGGTCAGATTAGTGTCGGCTGGGGATTGTCTCGGTCAGATTAGTGTCGGCTGGGGAATGTCTCGGTCAGATTAGTGTCGGCTGGGGAATGTCTCGATCAGATTAGTGTCGGCCGGGGAATGTCTCGATCAGATTAGTGTCGGCTGGGGAATGTCTCGATCAGATTAGTGTCGGCTGGGGAATGTCTCGATCAGATTAGTGTCGGCTGGGGAATGTCTCGATCAGATTAGTGTCGGCTGGGGAATGTCTCGGTCAGATTAGTGTCGGCTGGGGAATGTCTCGGTCAGATTAGTGTCGGCTGGGGAATGTCTCGGTCAGATTAGTGTCGACTGGGGAATGTCTCGATCAGATTAGTGTCGACTGGGGAATGTCTCGATCAGATTAGTGTCGGCTGGGAAATGTCTTGGTCAGATTAGTGATGGGTGGGGAATGTCTCGGTCAGATTAGTGACGGGTGGAGAATTTCTCGGTCAGATTAGTGTCGGCTGGGGAATGTCTCGGTCAGATTAGTGTCGGCTGGGGAATGTCTCGGTCAGATTAGTGTCGGCTGGGGAATGTCTCGGTCAGATTAGTGTCGGCTGGGGAATGTCTCGGTCAGATTAGTGTCGGCTGGGGAATGTCTCGGTCAGATTAGTGTCGGCTGGGGAATGTCTCGGTCAGATTAGTGTCGGCTGGGGAATGTCTCGATCAGATTAGTGACGGCTTGGGAATGTCTCGGTCAGATTAGTGACGGCTGGAGAATGTCTCTGTCAGATTAGTGACGGCTGGAGAATGTCTCGGTCAGATTAATGTTGACTGTGAAATGTCTCGGTCAGATTAGTGTCGGCTGGGGAATGTCTCGGTCAGATTAGTGACGACTGGGGAATGTCTCGATCAAATTAGTGACGACTGGGGAATGTCTCGGTCAGATTAGTGACGACTGGGGAATGTCTCGGTCAGATTAGTGACGACTGGGGAATGTCTCGGTCAGATTAGTGACGACTGGGGAATGTCTTGGTCAGATTAGTCTTGGCTGTCGAATGTCTCGGTCAGATTAGTGACGGCTGGAGAATGTCTCTGTCAGATTTGCTATATATTGGTGATGAACATCTGCTGGCTGATGATTCTGACCTCTGATGTCATTGCTCCTTTACTGACTGTTGGGAATTCCCATTTCCTAGATAATTGTTTATAAAACAACAATAATTGCATATATTCTGTATTCCCACTGGAGCTTTGCATAGTTTCACTTTGATTTTAAAAAGTACCAACATGTCATATATATATAAAAAGAACTATACCTTTAATGATAGATTTCATATCACACTTAGATGAATCTATTTTATGTAAGGCAATAAGCAATTCAGCTGGAGTTAGGGGGCTTTGACCAGCACTGTTATCTCCTTGGTGACTCATCAATAAACGATGAAACACTTCTTTCACCACTATAGGGTTTAATTTGATGAGCTTGGGCAGAGCAGCGATCACCTCAATCTGAAAATATATAGGTATGAATCAGAAAAGAAGTAGCCTGCATATGTAGAGTTTTTAGCAATGATACCAGTGAGAACGATCAGTGTGCATACCTTTTCTAGTCCAATTAATACAGGAATGAGAAATCTGACATCGGAGACACGTTTATGATACAAATCACGCACTCTTTTCACAAGTTCTGATGATGGTGGCGCTGTTTAATAAAACCAGAAATTAAATAATTAATTTATGCTTACTATAGTATTATAGTATAGGAAGTATACTCATTACAGAGATTACTATAGTATTGATAGGCAGTATACTCATTACAGAGATTACTATAATAGTGATTACTGAACTTACCTTTATCTGTAAGTATATGTAACATCCTAGTAATTAGAGTCTCAGCACCTTTAGGACAATTCTCTACAAGCAAGAGAAGTTCTGGGGAACCCATTCCCATACCTCTCACCTAAAAGTAAATGAAAACAAAACATGCAGTCATTTTACATATGGTAGTGCTACCAAGGTATTATTACACACATACAGTCTTGTTACATGGTTCTACCACGTTATTATTACACGTATACCATCTTGTTACATGGTGTTATCACGATATTATTACACAGATACCATCTTGTTACATGGTGTTATCACGATATTATTACACAGATACAGTCTTGTTACATGGTTCTATCACGTTATTATTACACGTATACCATCTTGTTACATGGTGTTATCACGATATTATTACACATATACCATCTTGTTACATGGTGTTATCACGATATTATTACACAGATACAGTCTTGTTACATGGTTCTATCACGTTATTATTACACGTATACCATCTTGTTACATGGTGTTATCACAATATTATTACACAGATACAGTCTTGTTACATGGTTCTATCACGTTATTATTACACGTATACCATCTTGTTACATGGTGTTATCACGATATTATTACACATATACCATCTTGTTACATGGTGTTATCACGATATTATTACACAAATACAGTCTTGTTACATGGTTCTATCACGTTATTATTACACGTATACCATCTTGTTACATGGTGTTATCACGATATTATTACACACAGTCTTGTTACATAGTTCTACCACATTGTTATTACCGGGTATTACACACAGTCTTGTTACATGGTTCTATCACGTTATTATTACACACAGTCTTGTTACATGGCGCTACCACATTATTATTACACACAGTCTTGTTACATGGTTCTATCACGTTATTATTACACACAGTCTTGTTACATGGCGCTACCACATTATTATTACACATATACAGTCTTGTTACACAGTCTTACAAGGGTATTATTACACTCTTGGTATGTTCGTTCGAATCAATTTGTACTTACCGGATTCTCTAGTACTCTGAGTACAGTCCTCTTGATTAAAGCTGAAGTGGCAACATATACTGTAGCCAATCTGTCAAACACAGCATGACAATGTTACAATGTATCAGGCTGAGAATAATTCTTTATGACTGCCAGCTAACATCATCAGCTAATTCACTGACAGCTGTGTTGCCATCTGACATCGGCAAATTCACTAACAGGTATGTTACTTCAAGTATGTTAGGTTACATTATTAGTCTAAGAGTTTCTTAACAAATTAAAACATTCTAATTAAAAGAAAGTGTAGAAAGAACTCCCATGTGCTGAAGGTATAGGGAGAAAATCGGTGGTCATTACTCTACCATTTGCATTCTGTGCAAGTTAAAATTGGCTAAATTATTATGCAAAATTATGTAAATAATATG